AGAGGAGGATGAGGAGGAGGAAGAGGAAGAGGAAGAGGAGGATGAGGAGGAGGAGGAGGAGGAGTATGAGGAGGAGGATGGTGATGATGAGGAGGAGGAGGAGAAACGGAGGAGGAGGAGGAGGAGGAGGAGGAGGAGGAGGAGGAGGACGGAGGAGGCGGAGGAGGAAGAGGAGGAGGAGGAGGAAGAGGATGAGGAGGTGGAGGGGGGGCGATGATGGTGATGATGATGATGCTGGTGATGATGATGCTGCTGCTGATGATTCTATCGATGATGCTAACGATGATTCGGATGATGGTGATGATGATGATTATGATGCTGATGATTTTGATGATGATGCTTCTGATGATGATGCAGAATGTTGTGAGGATGGTCATGAACATGGTGATTCTGACGTTGCATAACATGATGGTTATGATGTGGATGCTGGAGATGCTGATGATGATGATGACGATGATGATGCTGATGAGGTTGATGATGCTGTTGACGATGCTCCTGATGATGATGATGATAATGATGATGATCATGCTGATGGCGATGCTGATGCTGCTAATGCTGCTGCAGATAATGATGATGAAGACGATGCTGCTGCTGGTGATGATGCTGATGATGACGATTATGCTGATGATGATGGTGGTGATTATGCTGATGACGATGATGCTGATGTCGATGATGATGCTGATGGTGCTGATGCTACTGACGATGATGATGGTGGTGGTGATGATGAGGATGATGATGATGCTGATGCTGATGCCGCTGATGATGCTGATGATGGTGATCATGCTGATGCTCCCGACGATGATGGTGGTGACGCTTATGGTGATGATGATGATTATGATGATGAGGATGCCGACGAGGACGATGATGACGATACTGACGACGCTGATGATGATGGTGATACTGAGGATGATGATGCTGATGCTGATGCTGATGATGAATATGCTGATGCTGATGATGATGGGGATGACGATGCTGCTGATGGTGCTGATGATGATGCTGCTGATGATGAATATGATGAACGTGACGATGATGACGTTGATGATGATGAGGATGATCAGGTTGCTGTTGCTGTTGAACCTGCGTCTCAGATGGTGATGATGATGATTCTGATGATGATGCTGATAACGATGCTGATGGTGATGATGAGGAGGATGCGGAGGAGGAAAAGGAGGAGGGAGATGAGGAAGAGGAGGCGGATGATGATGCTGATGCTGCTGCTGATGATGATGATGATGATGATGAAGGCGATGACGATGCGGATGATGATGATGATGATTATGCTGCTGATGATGATGCTGATAATGCTGCTGCTGATGATGATGATGATGCTGCTGATCATGACGATGATGATATTGAAGACGATGATGATGGGGATGGTAATGACGATGATGATGCTGATGCTGATGACGATGCTGATGATGATGATGGTGATGCTGATTATGCTGATGACGACGGTGATGATGTTATGATGATGGTGATGAAGCTGCCATTGCGGATGCTGCTGCCGATGATGATATCGATGATGATGATGATGGTGAGTGTGGTGGTGAGGATGATGATGATGATGATGATGATGATTATGATGGTGCTGATGATGATGAGTATATCTATGCTGATGATGTTGATGATGATGATGGTGATGCTGCTGCTGCTGATGATGATGATGATGTTGGTGATGGTGATGGCGACGATGATGATGCTGCTGATGATGATGATGATGATGATCATGATGATGTTGATGATGATGAGGATGATGATGATGATGATGATGATGATGGTGGTGATGATGATGATGATGATGATGATGATGATGATGATGATGATAACTGGAGGAACAGGAGGATGGGGGAGGAGGATGAGGAGGATGAGGAGAAGGAGGAGGAGGAGGCGGAGGCGGAGGAGGCGGAGGAGGAGGAGGAGGAGGAGGACGAGGCGGAAAAGGATGAGGGAGGAGGAGGAGGAGGAGGAGGAGGAGGGAGGAGGAGGGAGGAGGAGGAGGTGGAGGTGGAGGAGGCGGAGGAGGCGGAGGAGGAGGATGAGGAGGAGAACTGCGAGGAGGGCGAGGGCGAGGGCGATGGCGAGGGCGAGGGAGAGGGCGAGGGCGAGGGTGAGGCGGAGGAGGAGGAGGAGGAGGCGGAGGAGGAGGAGGAGCAGGAGGAGGAGGAGGAGGAGGAGGAGGAGGAGGAGGAGGAAGAGGAGGACTAGTGTACACCCAAGAGTCATCAACGATGTCCAAGCTCCCTCTTCACCGGCCCCTGCAACTGCTCATTTCCACTGGGGGGACTGCTTCGTTGGAAGACAACCGTTTCAAGATCCTGAAGCATGCCGCAACATGTTCTCGGAATTTCAATGCCACGTATCAACTTGACTGCTGCGTCTTGACGATCCAGAATCGTTCCAGAACGCTATTGTTGGGACTTCAACACCGCGAATCAACATAACTGTTGCGCCCGCAAAATCATGAATCCTTCTAAAACATCATTTCTGGTATGCTGATCACGAGAACCCGTGAAACTCTTGCAAAGTTTGTAAACGAATGTGCGCGGCCCTAAGGCGAGAGCCACACTTTGAAAACGACCCGCCCTC